GAAAAGGTGCTCGCTGCCTCATTTGTTTGCTGGACCTCGGGCACTCAAAAAGGCCCGCAATCCATGTAGGCGTATGGCTTTGCAAACTTCTCATGATTTCAAACACAAAGCAAATCAAAAGCCAGCCCGCCCAACTATTAGTGAAAGATCAACAACAGAAATCAGGAATGCGCAATTCGCTGCCAGGACGAACCAAATACTTTCAAGAAACAAAAAAATGCTTTTCCTGACCCTGAATGTCAATTCTTGTGCAATTGTGCGACACGTGCAATTTTTTGCCGCACACAACATGACTTCATTTACTGCCTACGGCATATGCCTGGCTTTTGCCAAAGCCTCAAAGCTCAACAGCGCACAGCATGAACGCCACATGAGAAGAACGCTGCTGCACTAAGGCCTTGTTCTAGGTGCCCCCTGTTCTACCAGGCAAGATTTCGAGGGACATTCATCCTTAAAATATCAACTCCCTCGTTTTGTGTTACAAGTCTTTTTCAGCATGGTGAGCATTGCCTGACTCCCACAGGAATCTCGTCCTGCAAAATGCTGTGAATTTGAAGGGGTGATGTTTTCTTACTTTTGTGGGGGTGGAAATACTTTTTAGCTTGAGGAGGTTGGGGAAAGCGAGAAAGCGATGACGATCCATGCGAGAGCTCAGGTACGATTTAACATCAAAACTGTGGGAAACTCCACGCGAGACCTCCACTACAGACCGAAATATCAGGATGCTGCACACGTCGTCCATCCATCCATCCATCCATCCATCCATCCATCCATCCATCCAGCCATCCAGCCATCCATCCATCCATCCATCCACCCACCATGCGTACATTCATTCATTCATTCACTCACTCACTCACTCACTCACGCACTCATTAGTTCCTTCATTTATTCATCCATCCATTCATTCATTCCATTTCATTTCAACACCTTCATGTCATTTCATACCATTCATTCGATTCATTCCAACCATTCCATTCATTCCATTCGTTCCGGTCATTTCATCCATCCATGAATTCATCCATGCATTCCGTCATTCATTCATTCATTCATTCATTCATTCACTCACTCACTCACTCACTCATTCATTCATTCATTCATTCATTCATTCATTCATTCATTCATTCATTCATTCATTAACTCACTCACTCAGTCATTCACTCATTCATTCATTCATGCATTCATTCAGTCATTCCATTCATTGATTTATCATTCATTCATTCGTTCGCTCATTCATTCATTCCTTTCATTCTGTTCATTCCTCTCATTCCTTCATTCCATTCATTCCATTCATTCCATTCATTCCATTCATTCCATTCATTCCATTCATTCCATTCATTCCATTCATTCCATTCATTCCATTCATTCCATTCATCATGCTACTCATTCAAGGGAAATTTGTGGCAGTGGCCCTAGTTCTCTTGGACCATGGCAGGAATTTTGCCAGTGCTCAGGGCTTGGTTTTGGGTGAACGCGCCTCCCTTGCTCCTGAAGAACTATTCGATGAGATGTTCGATGAACAAATCGTTCTGATTGTTATTGGTTAGTCCCAGAAGGAGCCTGTCGATTAGTCGCCTCGTTCGCAAGATGCCTCAGGTGATCGAAGTGTGGATATCCAAACTTCTGTGAGGAAAATATCGCAAAAGCTTGTTTGCAGGTCTCGATCAACCAATTTGCTCTTGGTTTGTTGCTAGGAATGATGTAATGTTTCCTAACAAAATGATTTTCCGTTTACGCCATGTTTCGGATAGTCTCACATGTTTATACTTTGCTGTGTCAGCTAACGTCCTGATTACTTTGTGGTTTGTCAATTCTCGATCCACGTTCTGGGTGGTACCTGCAGAACTCGTCTAAACATTCTACATTGGAATGCTTCTCCGCAGTCTTGTTCTGCATGAGTTCCTTTATTGTCTCTACGCTGTACAGTGACTTGCCGAGTCTTTAACCCTGAGCTTCCCATCTTTTGGTTCTTCTAATTGTGGACGAAAAAACTTGAGACGATTTCAAGAGCTCATTTCAGTGTCAAAATGTGAGAACGCCCCATGCAAAAGCTCAACTTGTGCGGATGCTCCCTGCGAAAGATCAACTGATAATGGCAGTAAAAAATATCACAGAAATCACCAAGCAAGGGTCACAATCAAAATAAGAGTAAACAGTAGCATTACCAAACATACTAATTCAAGCAAAAAAAGAAAAATGTTTAGAATGATAACGACCGAGCTCAGATGAGGAATAACAGCAATGATGAGTGTAATCATAGTAAACATGATGATAACAACAATCGCATTAGTTGTTAATAAAGATTTTCTGACAACGACCTGCCTTCTACTTATTGTCAGACTGGTTATGCTCATTCCGCTGCGTTTCATTTCACAAGAGCTTCTACTTCACAAAAACTACAATCACAAAGATTGTTCTCAGTATTGCAACACTATAAATGCTAGCTTATTGATTACTACTAGTTGCTACTGCTCACTCCTATGAACATGATCACTGTTCTCGCCTTCTTTATCAGTCTGACTTTTGTTGCGACTTTAGAAATAACAGTAAGGTCAGTCTGAACAAGAACAGCCGTAGCAGCAGTCTGAAACAACAAGGAGTAGCAGCACCAGCAAAACTTCAAGAAATCATAGGAATAAGTCTAACTAAGAAACCTAAGAGTACTAAACAAGAATGAGCGCAATCAAGTTACGGTACCAGGAACCGTAGAAATTGAAATGCAATAACAACCTTTCTCAAAGAAAGACGGGTACAAATAATCTTTGCGGGAACCGTACTTGTAATTGTACGGATAGTGCTGGCACTGCCAAAAAAAACTCTAATGATGATTGTGGGAATGACAAAGACCATCTTACAAAAAAAATTGCACAGCATGAGTGTTGATGAGAACAGGTAGGTTCTGAACGGATTCTGGATGCATTGGTTTTAACCCGAAAGGGGGGTTTTTGGGAGGGGCGCACAACATGGACAAGGATGAGAACATGCGAATGATTGCCAAGCTTGGCTTGAGTTGCAAAACGTTGTCTTGATGTTTACTGGAAGTATGGGCCTCAAACAAAAAGCGGGGATGTGGGGGCGGGGGGCGCAGCGCCCGCATTTCCACGACATGGGCAGACTTCTTGCCGATTTTGTTTGGATTTGCTTAGAGGTAGAATGCGAGGTTACGCGAGAACGTAGTTCTGAGTGTAAGCGTAAAGACGCTTCAAGCGAGAGCTCAATCTAGAGCGAAGAAGATGCGAGAACACTTTACGCCAAAGCAGAGTTCTGAGTAAACCTGCGAGGACCAAAATAGAAGGACGATTCCCTTAAACAAAACAACAAACGAGTCCCTCAAAATCCGCAAAAACAATTTTGGAAACCAGCCAGACAACTCAACAGCGGTTGCATGGTTCTTGCACTCACTGCTCCATTCTTCACCCCTTGCCGTACTAGACCATGGCGTTGCCGACTTGCTGTACATACGCCTGCGTGGCAACACACGACTCGTGGGAGCCACAGAAGATGAGCCTTGCGCTTCAGTCGGTTTTGGTCGCTGCCAAAACAGTCTTTCGCTCCCAAGGTGCTGCAGCTTGCTGGTTACTCGACATTTGCCGAATGTCAGAGAGACACGCAGGCTCATGGGTGGCGTCTGCCCTGGAGACCTACGATGATGGGAGGAGATCTCAGTCGGTTGAAAGCTAGCCTAACTCCGAAAATTTGCAAAAAAAGTGCAGCTTAAGGATCGTGCCGCACACTTTTGCCTGCACGAGTGTCAACATTTTCCGCTGCCTACCTCGACAAGCTTCAGAAGCAGATGCGTGTCCAGTTTGGGGAACAAACCCAAGCAGCTCCATCCCGAAAAGTAACACAGGAAGGCAACGCATAAAACCAAAAAAACTCCCGGTCGTCAAACGTCAAAACTGTTTACCTCAAGAACGAGTTATCGACCATCTCCTTACGAAGGCAAAGCAGTCCTGAATGCTTGTTTTTGACGTTATGGCTTCCTTGCTCCTTTCTGCATGCCCTTTTGTTCCAGGTGTCCTGGCACCCTCACACACTTGCTGTGACAGTGAGCGCCCTTTGACGCGGTGCCAGACGAAGATCCGCATATTTTGTTGGCAAGTTGACATGCCCAGTCTCATCTTTTCCTCTTGTGTAAGGTGTAGGCATGGGAGCACAGGAAGCCGTTGAAGATCACAGCAGGGAAAACAGGCAGGAGCAAAAAACATACCTCAAGCTCAGGTTGCAGCAGCTCCCACAACTTCTGGCGGGTGAGGATCAGTGGCCATTGAGTGTACACCAGGCATGGCACCGGCTGGTGTCAGGCAAGCCTGCTCTGAGCGACTCAGACGGCTGACTGGAAAGTAACGAGAAGCAGCGAATACGGGAAGAGTTTGTTGCACTCCAGATGTCCAACGGTTCGGCAGGATCGATCACGACCGTGTTTGCTGGCCCAATGAAGAAGGATGCTTAGCAATATCGTCTCCGGGAACTGCGGCCGCTTGACGCCAACATTGCATCAAGGCGGGCGTCATGCACGGACAGAACGAACACCGGATGGCGCATTAACAACAGGACAAGGTAACACAAAGCTTGTTGTGTAGCTTCCAGCCCTGACTGCCGGCTTCCGGGGCCTCCGAAAGCATGGGTTTCCTCTGGTCGGGTGCTCCAGTGGTATCTTGCCTATTGCTACTTCAAATTTCCAGGGCTTGTTCCCACTGAAAGTCAGCCATGCCAATTGGGTTGAAATTGCGCTGCCCCTTGCGAGAACCGAACAAATAGAGCACTGACTCAGCATCGCAACATAGAGGACAACGAAAACCAACAGCCACTGAAGAAGTAGCTGTCAGCCTGTCACCTCTTGTCACTTTTTTGCGTTCTACTAGAAGCATCTGAGCAGAATTTTGAGGACACCTACTCGCATCGGGTATGCCAGTATGCTGTTCCATTCACCAGACGTTTCGGTGAAACTGGTTGGGTGATCAACATGTGCCTCATCACTAGTGACAGTGCATCCAAGCCACTTCCCCAAGCAAGAAGGGAACAAGCATGTACTTCAGGTCAGTTGTGCCTTGAGCAGATGGAAACAAGAGCAACACAACTCTCAGGAACCCAGCAACGCACTACGACTTTACTTTATCTCATGATGAGGCCGCTGATGTCGTCGAGCGCTTCGTTTGGTGAGAACAGCTTGAGCTGCATGACATGGTGAGCGATGGTCTTTAATTGCGCCGTCCTCAGTCCCGAAAAGCTTTCGAGCACACCCCTCGGTTGCTGAGGTGACGTTTGAGGGTACTGCCTCCGAACTGCCAAAAAAGCGTCAGAACATCAAGGTCTTGTTGTTCGCATGGAGCATTCGCCAGCTGCACTAGTAAAGCATACTTCTTGTACGCATCGTAGAAATCCCGTGAGAGATTGTACCTCTCAAGTCAATCTGTATCTGCACGAATGATGGTGGCTGCCTTTTGCTCTCCCAAGGCACGCATCTTGGGCTTCAGCGGCCTGATGCGCAAGCTCTGTGTGCATGCATGGGGGCATGACAAAGCAACATACGTTGAACTCCAGCACCTCCTCAACAGCATGAGCGGTGCTGAAAGTGTCGACTGCCATGGGATTGGTAAGCAAAATTCGTGCTTACTTGCTTCTATTGAACCGGTTAAAGCTGTGTGCAGACCCACGTCTGATTTTGAAAGACTTGATTGGGCGGGACTGGGAGCATGCGGTGCGAGTAAGTTGCTGTGGGGCACAGCCTTGATAAATTCAAGTTGACGATCTAAAGCTACTGTTACCTGATGAAGCTCTTCGCCAAGCAAGCTTGATCCGTGTTCAGCGCATCAGATTTGTGACACCCTACGCTCAAGCACGTCTGTTGTTTTGCTTTTGCAGTGTCCCCTTCCAAACAAGCAAGCCTACTGCCTGCGGGACCAGGTAAGGCACGAACAATGGGCACTGGCAAGACCTCGTATGCTCAAATCTTCATCTGGACGCAGAACCCACATCCCACGGCCAACCTGTGCCAATCTCATGGTGCGGTCGGGCGCCACAGCTGGCAGACATGTTCGGGCACAATGGCACTACCGACAGTTTTATGCTGCATTTGCCTGCAGTGCATTTCACACGTACTCCGGACAAGTGAAACCTGAAGGTTTCCACAACCATACGATGCTTATTCACCTGTCTCGTCAGCGAACACCATGAGATGCAAGTCTGAAACACTTATACCTGGCAAAAGCTGAGCCAGCAGCTGCACATCATTCTGCAGAGCCTACATCACTAAGATCCTGAGCACGGATTTGCAAAGCGCCCCAAAAAAGAAAACCTGGGCTGGGCTTTGTGCTGGTCCCCTTGTGCTCATCGAATTAAAGCAATACGGACCAAGCCTATTTTTGCACTCATACTGAGCTGTCCCTTGACAGCAAGGCAAAATCAGCAACACCACGTTGCTCTCACACCGCATCTGCCGCAGCCTTACTGTTGCAAGGTTACAAGAAGCGACTTTTGATAACAGAGAATGTATGGTAACATGCTGCAAAATCTGCTTTGCAAAGCTGTGTATGTGTGCGAAATGCATGCATGCAACAAAAAAACTTTTCTTGGTTGTGCTCATATACCTGGCATGGAGTCTGGTTCGCTGGTTATTCTCTGAACCCAACTATTGACAACACCTGTGGAGCTGCGTAAGATGCCCACATTGCTGTACAAATGCACGATTGAAGCGCATAATGCTCTGTTGGTTGGGAAGAATATACATCGCGGCCGGGGATACTTAAAACATACTTCCAGTCGCATGTGCTACACATCGCTACATGAGTGTGCTTTTATAACATGTCAAAACATGTCAAAACCGAACCCTTATGGCAATGTTCTTGCTTTGCACATACCGCGTTTCGACTGGCAAGCATCGACAACTCGTGCCTGAACCATATGTATCCAGCACATGTACAACATTGTTCCTGCTTCTTTCGAAATTCTGCTACAGCTTGGAACCTGCGGATTGTATTTTGACTGTTCAACTACTGTGTCTGCTACCAACACGATTTGATTTTGTTGGCCCGCAGGCCGGGCGTTGTTTTGAGTTGTGTTTGTCTTTTTTTTTTGTCGGTATTCTTGTTGAGTCTGGGGTGGGGGCCCGGAATTGAAGGACGCCTCACACAAGCGCGCGATTCTGAGGCAGAATGTGAGGACCGGAAATAAAACACGAAAAATCGTGACAAATAAAAGAAGATTTTTCAAAAGAGGATTTCAAAATTTAAGACAAAGAATATCATATTCAATCGTGCAAAGATTTTCCCGTAATCTAATCTATACAAAGTTGCAGACCGTTGCGCACTTTTCAACATGGCGATAGACGCACCTCTCGTGCAAACCTGACCTCAACCTTAGGAAGCATCAAACAGCTGTTGTACACGCTGATTGGCACGATTGAAACGCCAAATTTGGCGTAAAGAAAGCAATGCCACGCCTGACATTGCACACAAGTGCTCAAGTTTGCAAAGTTGGGCGGGCAGGGTGGGACAACTTTGCTAGCTGCCCCCCCACCTCCCAACTTGAGCACGCAACATGAATCATTTCTTGTCATGCAAAGAAGGCTTGTAAATTTTGAAAATTGAAATTTCCTCGTAAACTCGAGTCCACTTTTTGAAAAAGGTCAAGTAGTTCAGGATCTACAAATGACCTTTTCAAAAGAGGATTTCAAAATTTAAGACAAAGAATATCATATTCAATCGTGCGAAGATTTTCCCGTAATCTAATCTATACAAAGTTGCAGACCGTTGCGCACTTTTCAACATGGGGATAGACGCAGCTCTCGTGCTCCACCACCCCACTTTTTCCATCTCACGAGAGGTCGGCTAAAAGGGAACCGGTAATTGGGCGAAGGCAACTATCCCTAACAAACCCTGGGCCAACCAACCCCTTTACCTCTCCCCTTGATGGATCGTCCTTTTTTTCATTCAATCGCATCAACTGAGTCAGTTGTCATGCGGGCGAGTGTGAACCTTGTCACCCCTCATTTGAGGGCTCGCCGGTGAGGCAAACGTCATGTTGTGCTCCGAGGAGCCCGACAACATAACGTACAGCTGCCTTTGCAGCCGCGGAGCTGTGCTCCTAGGAGCCCGACAGCATATGCGTCAGGCCGGGACTGTACATTCAAACACGGCTCAGCC